GTCGTCCTCGCTACGCCGCGAATCCCGGCGTCTCTCATGGTCGCGCTCTCTCGATCTGGACGAGCGGTGACGGCGGTGGTGGTGTCTGCGCTCTCGGCTGCGGTCACGGTCACGGTCACGATCACGGTCGCGGTGATGGCGATGCCGACTCCTGTCGCTCTTCTCACGCCTGTGTTCCTGCTCCTCCGCTAGCGATTTTTCGAAATCCTCGAGTGTCATTGTGATGGTTGAGCTGCTGAGGAAAGAGAAATGAGGAAGAAGCGAAGAAAAGGCTGCGGACGGAATGACGTCTGGGCGGTCCAGACTCCACCGGAGCCGATCTCTCCATCCCCGCGACGCAACATTTTCCTTTTTCCTTCGGCTCCCCGCTTCACTTGTTCGCCCTCAACACCATCCTATCCGGACTTGTCTGAAGCTTTTAGCTTGTCGAGCTTCACATAAACCACTGTTGAGCTTGATAGCTTTGCCGTTACAAATCTTTCATCATGGCGCAATCACCGGTGGCCGTCGTCTGCGTCGGCATGGCAGGTATGCCGATACTGCTCTCCCATCTCAATTTCATCTTCTGACGAGCTCTCTTACCTAGGCTCCGGAAAGACGACTTTCATGCAGAGAATCAACTCGCATCTCCACTCGAAGAAGAAGGTTCCCTACGTGCTGAACCTGGACCCCGCCGTCTACTCCGTTCCCTTTGAGAGCAATATTGACATCCGCGACTCCATCAACTACAGAGAAGTTATGAAGCAGTACAACCTCGGCCCCAACGGCGGCATTCTCACCTCCCTCAACTTGTTCGCTACGAAGGTCGACCAGATCATCGCCCTGTTGGAGAAGCGCAGCGCTCCGAACCCGAGCAACCCCTCCGCCAAGCCCATTGAGCACATCCTCGTCGACACTCCGGGACAGATCGAGGTGTTCGTATGGAGCGCATCTGGAAGCATTCTCCTCGAGACCCTGGCATCTTCCTTCCCTACCGTCATCGCCTATGTCATTGATACCCCCCGCACCAGCTCCACCAGCACATTCATGAGCAACATGCTCTACGCCTGCAGTATCTTGTACAAGACCAAGCTGCCGATGATCCTTGTCTTCAACAAGACCGACGTGCAGGATGCCGAGTTTGCCAAGGAATGGATGTCCGACTTCGATGCGTTCCAGCAGGCGCTGCGGGAAGAAGAAGAGTCGGGTGCGTTTGGTGCAGAGGGTGGAGCCGGTGGCTTCGGCGCTGGAAGTGGATACATGGGATCGCTACTGAACAGCATGAGCTTGATGCTGGAGGAGTTTTACCGTCACTTGAACGTCGTTGGTGTGAGTTCCATGACGGGTGATGGTATTGATGAGTTTTTCGCTGCCGTGGAAGAGAAGCGCCAGGAGTTCGAGCGTGACTACAAGCCGGAGCTGGAGCGCAAGAAGAAGGAACGCGAGGAGACCAAGGCTGCTCAACGGGAGTTGGAGCTGGGCAAGCTGATGAAGGATATGAGCGTCTCCAGCTCTAGTCGTCAGCGCAAGGACGAAGCCGAGACCGTCAGTGAAGCGGAAGAAGAGGCAGAAGATGCGGCTGGCCAGGGAGGGTTCGACGACGATGACGATTCCGATGAAGATGGATATGGCGGTGCTCCCCCAGCGGGTAACGATGAGGGACTCTCACAGCGGTACAAGGATGCGCTGGCTGATCAGAGCGCTCCTTCGGATGCGGATCACAGTTTCGCCAGATACCTGCGCAAGAGCAACATTAACTAGGAAGGAAATGATCTCGCGGGACATGCATTTTGACTCTACATATATCGGTGTACGAAGGCGTTGATATTGGCTTATCATCATGAATAAATGATTAGAATTTAATTCAAAAGCATACTCTTCGACTGACCAGTTCTCAGTGGAGTTCGTAGATGGCAAAGTCCATAGATATAGGTGACTAATAATCATTCCAAATCCATCTAGCTAATATGATTCTATTCCAGGCCAATAGGCTCAAAGACAGTCTAATGACGTGGAACTGCATATCATCGCAGATTAAGTAGCCTTAAGATCTTGGCTCTACCGTTGCGGAACGGGACACCAACATTGTTCACGAGACCAGTCAGTCAGAACACCATCACACAGCCAACACTTCCAATCCATTCCACATCGCAATAATCCCTGCATTCAATCAAACCCGGATTGAATAACAAAGCAACGGTGCCTGGATTGCTGCGCTGGATGAGTCAGCCGTAGATCTGCCAACTGGGAATGAATGACATCATGGGCGCTTGAGCTAGCAATGACCTCACGAGCTCTACCTTATAAGACAGGTATCGCTCAGCGGTTCTCAGCTACTTCTTCAATTGTTGGTTCCTTTACTCAATTTCAATTTTAACGTTAATACTACACAATCAGAACCATTTCAGATCTACAACCATGGACGTAAGCTAAACCATCCCCCTACAACCCTCCAACCACTTCACAGGCTAACGCCATGAACAAAAGGTATTCCACGCCTACACTTACTCAACAGCGGGCTGGCTCTCCCTCCAGAGCGTCGCCCTAATCGCCGTGCCCGAAATGATGACCACAATGCTGGAACAAGAAAGCAGACAGCCATCCTGTACCTCCCCTCCCCTTCACCTATCACCACTCCCAGTAACCCAAACTAACATGATTACAGCAATTGAAACCTACCTCTCTCGCTGCCTGGGCATGAGCCTCCTCACAATCGCCATCCTAACCGTCATGCTGACCGGCTCCATCCCCCTCACGGCGTCCATCACCGACCCCGTCACAACTGATGACTCTGATCCCAAGGCGCCCTACGCGGTTCCGACGATGCAAGTGACCACTATCTTCCACTTTATTTCGGCCGGGTATGCGTACGCCTGGTTCGCGGATAAGGGCCAATTGGCGTTTGGGGTCGGGATGGTGGTGTCCGGGGCGCTGGCTTCGTTGGGAATCTGGTGTGCGCTTTTTGCCAGCAGTAATGGGAAGATTAGTCGGAAGACCGGGGCGGATAAGAGAACCACGGGGTTTCCCTTCAAGAATAGGGAGGCGGAGAAGAAGCATGGGAAGGGGTTGTAAGGGCTTTGATGTGGATTTGTTAGTTATGGATGGTGTTATTTAGGTGGTGTTGATGGTGATTTTGATGGTTGAAGACGCAGTTAGAGATGGGGAGATATTACTGTATGCATTAACTGCATAGTGTTAACATTGCACAAAATGAACAAAGATAATTTTGGTATGATTGATTTATCAGCTTTGCAGGTCAAGAGTCTTTTATCAGTAGTCATCTGGTTAGGTAGGTAAGTAGGTAGCCTTGGCTTGACGCTGAGCCAAGCACTTGACACAATAAAAGTAGGGACGCGTACATACCCCGAATCCTCCTCACCAACCAAATCCCGAACATCAGATACGTCTAACAAAGTCCGCATCCTATCAACGGGGCATTCCAGCTCTGATATACCCTTCAGAGTTATAATATGTTCACGCTAAACCCAATCCGCATCAGAATTAGAGGCATATGATTGGCCCACTCGCTAATGACATCATAGGGGCCATACGCTATACCCGTTTGGAGTTGGTGCGATATCTATACCTCAGAATAGATCTTTCGATAGGGCTTGTTTTCACGGTGAGAATTAGAGAAATTGGGCGATGGGAGGGTATAAAGAGGTGAGCAGGAGAGATAGGATGGATGGAGAGAAGCAAAGTTTTGTTTTTCCGTCCTTCAACTATTGTCCTTCTTTCTCTACCTATACATCTGTCTGGATTCAGTGTGCAGTCGCTCGTTACGTTCATACTTTTCTATCTATATCGCTACTACTACTTCTATACCTCTGAGAGGGTTATACTACAACTGAATTACTTTCGTATTTATTAAACTTCGACTATACATACTGCTACAGAACAGTGAGTCTCCCAACCACTCGCCCTAAACACTGGCAACCTCTAACCCTCACCTCTAACAGTCCCCACGACAATCTGCCTCGTGCACCACCACCACCTCTCTCTCTCCCACACAAGAAATCAATCAAAATGGTCTACATCGCCAAAGAAGCCATCATCTTCTTCGTCATCCTCGGATGCGTGGTAGTCTCTGTCTTCGGCTACTCTATCCATTACCTTGCGACTAATGGGTTCTACGGTGAGGAGAGGAATCTCGACTTCCCTCCAGAGCAGAGGATATACATGCGCCAGTTACGACTAAGGGATTTGCATTGGATGGCGAGAGATAATGGGATCAGGATTGCGAGTAATACGTCGCCAGTGTAGGGCTTATGGTCTGGTCTTTCCTTACTCGGGTTATGGTTATGTGTGATGGGACATTGATGGAGTTTTATGGTTGGGGTTAGGGTTATACTTGTTGATTGTTTGGTTAGTATTGGGTTTTGGAATAGAAATGCATGTTTGTTATTAGGTTACAACCGGTATCTTGTTTCTAGCATACTGTTCATGAATGCTTTAAGATTTATCACGTTGATTCTCATCGGTGTTTGTCCATGCGCACATGAGATACTATTAATCATCTCATTTCGACTCCATATACGGCGCTGGTTCTAGGTGATTATTCCGAGTATTCCATCTAATAATTGTGAGGCCATTGACACCACATAAGTAAATACGGTCTGCTCATCTCACTAGAAAGGTCTAGTAGCAGGCTTCGCAACTATAACCACCGGTCCCGCTTGCTAGATAACTCACATACTAACAATAACAACCACTAAGCAACCCATACTAACACGAAGAACATCATGTGATGGACGAGCATATGAAGCTAGCCGGAAATAATGCTCGACCGCCACAGCCCCTCTACATCTGGACCCCCCTCCCTCCTTGTGATAGTAATCATAGTAATCACCATTAGATAGTAAACCAAGCCGCCCTCACACATATTCAACCCCCAATCATTCATAAACCAAATGCCATCCAGCAAGTCTCTCCCTCCCCATCCACTCCCACAAATCACCCATCTAGTAACACCCCCCGAACCCCTACCAATAGTAATATCCGGCCCCACGGGCGTCGGCAAAGGCACACTGACCAAGAGAGTCTTCGACGCACACCCGGACACATTTGCATTCACAGTATCCCACGCGACGGCGAAATCCACGGCAAGAGCTACTCTCTCTTAGACCAGCCGATGTTCGGGGACATCATCTCCTAAGGCGCCTTTGTAGAACATGCGTACCTTCGATGGGAACCAGTATGGCACGAGTAAATGGCAAATACAATCTCAGATCAAATGGAGAAATGCCGGGTGATTGTGCTAGATATCGAGATGAACGGTGTGAAACAGATGAAGGCAAGTTCTAGTATCGATGCTCGGTATCTTTTTATTAAGCCACCGAACTTTGAGGCGCTCGAGGCACGGCTTCGGGGGCGAGTAGGGAGTTGGAAGGGTTTGTGTTGCGGGTAGGTGCGCTTAGTTTGTGTTCTGTTGGTTCGTTAATATGTTGTATGGGATAGAGAGAGGTAGACAGACATGATATACTGCAGTGTGTGGCTAGCCACGCAAGCCTGCCTTCTAAGTCCTTGGCTATTCCTACGAAGTCGAATACAATTAAGAGACCTTGGCCGGATTCCATCATTACTAACCCTCTCAGCACCCATACCCCTTTGTAAGAACCAAAAGAACCAGCAACCAGATGCAATAAACTCATATCTCATGCTCATAACTCATGCATACACCATCACTCCCCAAATCACAAATCACAAGCGTAAAAAAAGAGACAAGAAACCACCAACTCCCCGAACACCACCGCTATACCCACACAATGCAAAGAATCACCCTCAAAACAACTTCTCCTCGACATCCCTCTCATCAAACGGATCTCCGAATTCATCTATACCATCCACTAATTAGCACATCCCAACCCAACCCAGACTAACTCGGCCATGGAAGACCATATATCAACAACATACCCAGATTGAAATCATGATCAACCACGGACTCCATCGCGCGCTGATACTCCTCCTCTGCCCTTTTACTCATCCACGCCGCACCCGGCGCATCCATCTGCTGTGCCTGCTGTTGCTGTTGCTGTACCTGCTGAGTTGTCTGCGTCGCGAGCGGAGAGTCAATTAGGCTCTGGTTGAAGGCCATCTGTCCCTGGGTGTTCAGCGTAGCGGTTTGTGTTTGAGAGCCTGGCGGGGAGAGTTCTGAGCCGCCAAAGGGAGGAGGACGCGGGTTGGTGAGCTTGTTGGTTGGGGTGCGGGTACCCGGGTGAGAGTCTTCGGAGAGGCCATGGGATGATTCCGGGGAGGAAGCCATCTGGGAGTCGCCGTCTGGGTCTGTGATGGTTGGTTATGGTTAATAAGGTGTGTGGGTGGTGGGGAGACAGGTGGAGGTTGGTTGTATGTGATGGCAGCGGGGAACTGTGTGGAGGGGCTGGTATGAGCACAAACCGGTAGCCATGATATATGATTTTATCAAGTAGGTAATGTAAGCCAATCAATCAAGCAATAGCTGCAACAGAAAACAACAAAGCGAGACAATTCGTTGATGTGCAGCTGAGATGGAAATGTAGGATCGGGGATAAGTTGAGGTCGGCGATCTTAACTAAGCACAAGGCGGCAACCGCCATTTTCCTCCGCTTTTCTGAACTCCTCTGCCAACTAGACGATTTTCTTCCCCTCGTCTTACTTACCCCTCGGTCATTCCCTCCTTTAAACTAAGCCACCCGGCTAATACATTGGACTTGTTCTTTTTGGTTTACTTGCTAGACTCCACTAACTTTGGGTCTCGTCGTTCACTCGTTCAGAACCTGTTTTACGCGCTATAGCGATATATCCCTTGGCCATGAGCGCAAAGCCCTCAAGTGGCCCCGACGCCTGGGAGGAGGACTGGGAGAGTCAGGCTGATGTATGTGCACCACTACCTCTGCATGCCGCTGTGCGACTATCTCAATCCCCTGGCTAATCGCTCTCATAGTCGTTCGCTGCAGAATCCGCCCCGCCTCCGCAGGAGAAGAAAGTCTCCTCGAAAGTCACCAAGGCCCAGCGCCGAGCCCAACAGGCCGAATTTAACCGCCAGCTATGGGCCGAGGCGTATGTATACCACATTATGACTATGCGGATGTTGCCTGACCGTTTCCCGCTACAGAGAATCACCTCAGACGTTTCACTATCTAGAGGCGCGGTCGAATGTCCCGCTCAAGCAGGAATTCAAACCCACCGTCACTGTTCTCAGTCGCAACCCACAAATAGCTACGCGTCAATCATCTTCTGTAGACGCTGCCAGTGTTGGTATGAGAAGACTGGGGTTGAACGAGGATGACGACTCTGATGAGGATAGACCGCCTCAGCCCACACCTGAGGAGCGGCAGGCTATTGCGCTGCGCAATCTGGAAGAGAAGCAACGCAAATATGAAGAAGTCCGGGAGAGGCTGTTCGGTAGCCCGTCTGCCCCTACTTCCGGCGCGTCGTCGCCACGCAGTGCTACCCCACCTAAACAACACGAGGGCCGAGGCAAAGGGAGAAGCCGTGGGAATGGGCGAGACAACAACCGTGACAAGCGGGACTCGTCTGCTGCATCCGGAAAGTCTAAGCAGCTCTACGATCCCGGGTCTCCTAAACCGAACTCGAGCTTTGGGCCGCGGAGGGAAAAGCAGGGCAGTGTCCGAAGGGAGGATGATTCGCAATCGCCGAGGCAGCCGATCCGCAGTCCTCGTGGCCCTGATAGCAGCGGAAGGGGCGGGTTTAGAATGGGCCACAGGGGTGCCCGTGGAGGCTAGACTACGAAAACGAAACAGCTATCCCTTCACCAGGATTGGCGCGTTGCGCCTGTCTGTGTTGGTGGGACGCGACTCCAGGCCGCTGCTAAGAATAGTATTAAGATGCTAGATGGTACAGCAGTGACCTGCAACAAGCTAGGGAAGGCCCCTTCCGGAGTTGATCGCATTGGCAACCTGGGACGTGTTTGGACGGTTTTCTAAAGACGTCAGCTTGTGATCGCGTTGTATCAGCAATCCACTTACGAGCGTATCGCTCATAACTATCCAGATAGAGCTCATCGGTGCTCGTGGTTGCCTGGATATGCTCATTGTTCTCAATAGCATCGACCCAGGCTCCCCAGCGACTACCAGGCTCCGGGTCTGGCCACCCACGATAAGGCTTCAAGGCACGGCGCAAGCGGATAACCCAAGGGGCGACCTGGACATCAACGAATGAAATCTGAGCACCCAGAAAGAACGGGCCCTGCGCATCTGCGGCGCCGACTAATGTGTTGAATGCATCTCGGAGCTCCTGTGCATTGGCTATTTGCTTCTGAGTGTCTTGCTCTTGAAGAACACGGTAGAAGTTTGGGACGATGTGGCGGTTGATCTGTGATTGTCAGAAGTGAAAGGGATGATAAGCACGGGTGCATACAAAATCTGTCCATAGTCGGCAATGCGCCCTCAGCTTGGCGTCTCCGGGTGGGAGCAACGGTGTCCCAACACACAGGTCCTCCAACTAAAGCACGTTAGGATTGGATCAAGTTGGTTCAGTGGCAGGGTTAGAGCCATACGTATTCCAGCAAGACGGAGCTCTCGTATGAGCCCCAATCCCCGTGCCGCAAGGCTGGAACAAGTCCCCTGGGGTTCACGTCCAGCAATGACTGGGGCTTCTTATAGGGGTCAACTTCAATATACTGGTAGGGGATTCCCTTGATCTCAAGGGCAACCCATACGCGCTGTACGAAAGGGCTAGCAGTGGTCAGCGCTGGCGATGTATATATGCATATAAACTAGAGTGAACGTACCAAAAGCAACTTCCATACAATTTCAGTTCATTGTCTTGTGAGCGGTGCGCGACTGTCTGGGCAGCCAGGCCGGTAGCTTTGGTATGGTACTGTTTCTGAATTTGATTTTGGGTAGCCATTACTCTAGTCTGTGCGCGGTGGTAATTAGAACGAATATTAATTAATCGAGTCCTGACCGCGGAGGGAGCACGCTTGGACAGATTGCCAAACAGCAATGGTTTCAACACAAGAATGGGACTTCGGAGCATAATGGATGGGAAGAGAAGGTGCAGTTCACGAGCGGGGAAGATAGTCGGCGATAGGCACTTCTCCGCCGAATGACGTAACACGCTTGTGCCAGGATCAATCAAGGAGAATATAGAAACGAACTTACATTTAGTGATCTCTTCTCCTTCTTCACCTCCTGCAATAAGAACCGCTGCACACTATTCTTCTTCACGCGGTCACTATCCTCCAGCGTATGACGATGACCCCCACTCACACCGTCGTTCTTCCCGTTCGCACCATTCCCATTTACTCGCTGGATAGTAAAATACCTCTGGCCGTTGACCCCTGGATGGCCCTCTGGTAGAGGTGGGTTCAGGCTCGGCGTTAACAACCCAAACTGCTGGCCTTGAGCCTGTTGTTCCTCTCTGACAGCAGACTCCTGGAGTACTGGGCCGGGGACCCCAAGTCCATCAAGGACACCTAGATCTGACCCCATAACATCGTGGCCCGGGAAGTACTCTGTGATCTTGATTTTTACATCACAGAGATCCCGCTGGCGGGCAGTACGCTTACGCTTCTTCTTGTTGGGATCATTGGATTTCGGTGTCCCTGGAGGTCGACCTTTCAGGCGACAATCCCAGTAGTGGGAAATCAGCGGTTTGCGTTTGTAGTGTTGAGTTGACCGGTGGGAGTAGACGTTGTCGATGTGTGGGAAGTATGTAAGGAATCTGGGACAGTCAACAAGGGCATTGTATCTGCAAGAAAGGGGAAAATACGCACTGCTCCTCACTTAGAGTTATCATCTCATCGACATTAAAAAGCCGTTCTCGCCATGCATCAAGGTTCGGAGGATCAAGGATGGTGCGGATGTCGACATGTTGGTCGGGTCTTTTTACGAGAGATTGAAGATGGGGTTGTTGATGATGGTACTGATGATGAGACTGATGAGCTTGTCGAGTGCAGTCGAGCTCTTCAACGGCACATTGTAGACCGTGGAGCGAGTCATCGTCAATGCTAACTTGGCCTTGTCGATGGGTTGGAACTAGGTGCGGGTCCTGGTGGGCAGCTAGGGTCGACGCGTCTTCGGCAACTGATGTCAGAGAAGGATGGAGGAGAGTTGAGACGGAAGGGTTGAGTGATGTATCAGCCTCGGAAGGGATCGAAACATGGTTCATAGTGGTGGAGAAGCTGCTCCGATATTGTATGCTGATGATAGTGACGCTGCTTTTAATGTGCGGATGGACGAAAAGGCGGGGGTTGAGGCGGCGATTTGTTGACGGATGGTTGCCGGATCTGGCATAGCGGGTCACGATCGTCGATTGTTTTGGTCTGGACCTTCTTTGGAGTCTCCCCAAAGCATTTGCGTACTTCAAATCTAACGAAATTCCCGAATGATGCGCAGCTCTTTAGAGGCAAGTGGTATATTTAGGTCCTGAATATTGGTCGCTTGTGCTCGCTTGAGAAAGGTGAAGATCCGTAATTATTGTCGAGTGAGTCCTCAAACTTGCTTTGCCCTGACAGTCTAGTGTGAAGCTTAGCTGATCATCTGGTCATGCTATTGTGTCACTTTCAAACTTGCAGGATAATTGAAATACAAAGTAACTCGTTGCAGAGTGCCCCATAACTATGGTATATATCTAGTTAGTTGCTTTCAAAGGCATTGAGTCACTTGGGTATGTCTTGGCTGACACTCGATCACTATATATTTTCATGGGTTGTGAAATCACAGCCTCTCAAAACTAGCCGGTTTATCACTATTAGGACTGTTGCAGAGCCGTTATCATGCCAGTTCTACCATGAATCATCATCAGTTCAAGTCTACGAAATTAGCTACTATCACAGTCGCATAACCTCCTGACCGACCCTGGCTTACTCAAACCTGCTGGGACAATCTTGTATCCCTTCTGGCTCATCAAGGAATCGGCGAGGGGGCGCATTGAGTGTTTTCATCCTACAACTCTCAGTGGACCCCAGAAAGATCCACTTGACACCATTGAGGTCCTCTGAAGGCACCTTTCACCAATTCATGCCTGTGGGTCCCTATTACAATTCTGCACACTCAATTACTAGCGTCGTGACCGTCCCACTCCCTGCCGCTGGCCCAAGACTTGGCTGTACTCCGTAGAGTCTGCAGAAACACCCGCGGCCAATAATATCGGGTGATGATGAGAGGCTTTTCATCTGAGTTTGTGGAAGGGGTCCCTACAAAGTACAAACCGATCGCTTCCGCTAAGTTTTCGATATAGTCCTTTATACATTGGACTTCCTATGTACTCCAGGAAGGATCTGACTGTGTCACCGAAATTTACATTGCCATGTTTCCAGTTGCAACCTGTCTAGCTATTCCCACAAACGTCGAGTCGCAGTCTCGGCAGAATGTATGTCATCCAATCCAGGTGCCTATCACAGGACTGGCATATCCCGACTTCTGATGGGCCAAGATCATCGATTGGTGCCCTTAATGTTGTCCAAAATGAACTACAGAGTATTACCAAACTCCGCCAATTGAAATTTTCAGTACCTGTCGCGCCGATCCATCAGAGCGGATGTGCTGAGGAACAAATGGTCTTTGATTTGGAATTCCCGTTGTCAGACATGTTGGTCACCTTCACTGTCCAGTATAACAAGGAGCGTGTTGTTCCGCTTTTGACGATCGAGACAACGGGCAGCTGCGATACCGGTGATTATTCGTTCTCGGCGATACACCCCAGCCATTACTTTGGCCCCGCCATTATAATCAACCCGCAGATCAAAGATGCCTGATTTAGGCATAAGGCCCGTACGGAGATGTGTGCCAAAATTGTGTTAGTCTCGTTAAGTGCACCTTTCTGACACTCCCGCTTCTTGTTGATCCATTTCGTTTGACTCCACACTTGAGGAGGCATTTGTCGTTGCAGATTTTCATCACTCTCGATTCTTTAGACCATGCTTGCTTTTATATGAGGGAAGCACAAGATGCAGATCGAATTAGCAAGGAGCAGGACTAAACAGAGAAAATAAAAAAAAAATAAAAATCCACTGCGGCATGAAGACAACGAACTGCTAGGTATTATAAAACCACCGCGGGTTACATGCAGGCGAATAGTTTACAATGGGCAACATTCTCGTAACGGCCTACATGAACCCGGAATACGAACTATATTTCAATAAATCGAACACAGGCCCCAGTTACTTTCTCCAAAAACTGAGAGAAGTTGTGATGGTAAACCGTGATTGTTGGTGCGATGGTGGAAGGGACTGACAAAACCAGCCGTGTTGCCACCACCCTTACCCGGAACGCGCCAAGGCCCTCACAAAAGTGGTAGTGTGCCCACAAAGCCATTGTCACCATGAAGAATAACCCGGATACTATTGTTATACCATGCCAGCGATATGAGGCAGCAGTATAGTGAGTATCATGAGTTCCTCTGTCTTTCTTAAGCTGTGCTCGAAGCGGTCGCCATGAAGTTGGTGGACGACAGAAACGCAGAACATTTTGTCAACGCAATCGATAATCTGGCATTCTGGTGTTGACTTGAAAAACTAAATAACATGAACTGTGATTTCCCGTTTTCCTCTCACACCTTGATTATTCCATCTCTGTTCTTCTTTTACACTCCTCCTTTTCCCTCTGTCAATGAAATTTCACATACCTCGACTAACTCGAAAACACTGCGATATAGATAGTGGGGCAATCTGGTGAGCCGTGAACATATGCCGAGTAACCGGTTTATCTTTTAGCATCATGAAGCAGCTGGTGCCAGTGAACACTTGAAGGGGTCTTCAGCAAGCCACATAACGAATCACGCTGAAAACCTTCAGCAACTGGTGCTCTTTCGGTATTGAGTAGCATCGAGTGCAACTAATTGTCCAAGCATGCTGGGACACCGATGAGCTACTTATACACGGCTCACCCCCAACTGAAACAGGCGCCAACAATGTGATTGCACATCTAGGCTAGCCCGTCCTTTGGACCTTGAGACGCAACCTCAACGCAAAAAGCACCAGCACTTTCCAGCAATTTGCAAACTGTTTTTCCTTTCTTTTTCTTTTCTCTTTTTCTTTCTTCTTTCCCTTTCTCTCCTTTTCTATCACTTTTATAACAGCACCTAAGCAAACATCCCCTGGGGCTTTTTTATTTTATTGATATATGATATCAGAGGCCACCAGCACACATCACAGCCCGAACGAGCTGTCGAGTGCCTCCACTCCAAGCAACATGCACCCGATTGAGTCCCAAGAGAAATATTCATTTTCACCACCCCAAACCGGCATGGGCATCCCGGGAACATTGTTGCCGTTCATGACCATACCCATTTCTGGGTTCATCTGCAAGGCGTTGTGCTCTGTGTTGGGGTAGAACACCTCATTCCTGGCAACGGAGCCATACATATCTCTTTGAGAACCAAGCTCGACGAGAGTATTAGCGATACCTGAATGGGTAATGCTATGGCTCTGCTGGTTGAAAGATGCTCGCTGGTTGAAATGTACCTGTTGGTTGCAAGGTACCTGTTGGTTGTAAGGTACCTGCTGGTTGCAAGTTACCTGCTGGTTACAAGGTACCTGTTGATTGAAAGGTGCCTGTTGATTGAAAGGTGCCTGTTGATTGAAAGGTGCCTGTTGATTGAAAGGTCCTTGTTGCGTCGGGCTTACTCTTTCATGAACCAACATGTCGATGTCATAGATAGCTCCAATCCAGCGACGCATGGTATCGGGCACCATCGGGTTACCCGAGTGACGGTTAAGAATGAGCGCACAGTTGTGGAGCAGGGAGAGCGATTCATGATTGCTATACCCCTCACTCTGCTGTCGCGTACAATCAGACAAGATACTCAGCGTCATAACTAATGCCGAGGAATACACGTAATAGATGTCCCACCAGGTCACAGCATTGAACTTTCCGATCATATCAAGATGCAACAACAATTCGCAACTTTTCCGACCGGAGTCGCAACACACCCTAGCGATTGTCTCGAGTTCTTTTTCATTCATGTCACTGGTCTGCCCTTGAATCGTGGAAGCAAGGTGTCGCAACAATGAGTGGCGAGTGAGCAAAGAGACCGTATAGTGATATTGGATATGCAGCAAGAGAACCGGTCTCTTGTGTCCATCGGGCAACATGTCGAATTCCTGGAGGGTCAGATGCTGTGGTAGCGATGTATGCCACAGAGTCAATTCCCCAAGCAATTCAGCGACGGAGGAAAAGCCGCTCTCGCTAGTGAGATTTGGCAGTGCGCGGCATACGAGGCCTAGGATGGACACAAGCTTTGTCGACCAGGGCGCATAATCTGCAGGCCAATTGGAGGTATTGATGTTGAGTACCCTCTCATTCGGCGAAGTGGAGCCTAATGTACTTTCTATGGCACTGGGCCGATCATGAGAGGAGACCTGAATCTGCTCGAAGCTATAGAGAGTCCACCAAAGTGACCTCCTAAGCTCTCTATTCAGTTGCGGGCCTTCACACACTACTTCATCGCGATGAAGTCCAATAGCAACTGCGATCCGGGCTGCTACTCCAGTCAGAGTCCAGCATGCGTCACGATGATTTGTGTTGTGAAGATGCAAGGCAGCCAGCATCAGTGCCTGGATTGAATGGATATTGTTCGTGAAGATCATGCTCGGCAAGAGTGACTCGACATAAGTCCACCATTTTTGCTGCTGAGTCTCAGTCGTCCCCAGCGGCATAATGCGTCGGCTCAGGAGCAATACGCATAACAGACCACAGACCCACGGTCGGTCGACCGAACTTGGTGAAACTCGCCATCTATTGAAGGTCTCCAAGAACGAGGCCTCATGGAGAACAGGGAAGTCGACGTTGACATAGTCGAAATAAGCTCGGATCAGTCCCTCGATGACGAAATGATCAAGCAAAGGAACCGAGTACGGTAGACAAGCGGCATCCACACCAAGTTGCGAAGGTATCGCAATCGCTCGGACATCGAAATCTGTGAGGACATCACTAGCGAATGGCTTCAGAGTCTCCTCGGTAGGATTGGGACCGAAGAGATACATCTGACACCTTGGGTGCTGGCGTTGACGCCCCAGGAGGCTCCTGAGCTTCATTTGGAAGAAATAGGAGCTTGCAGGGCCGATATACTGATCTTGGCCTTGCTGGTCTTGAACAAGCTCCTCGTTCTGCTCAGTGGATGTCGCCCTGGCGTCCTCCTGCGGCTCTTGCGAGTCCTGCAGCTCTTGGGACTCTTCAGGATCTTCAGGCTCTTCGGACTCTTCGAGCTCTTGAGAGTCTTGAGAGTCTTGCAGCTCTTGTGACTGTTCTGGCTCGTATGGATCGATCTCAGGACAATCAAGCTTGACATCTTGGATGTTGCCAACAGTAATGTTCAACGACGCTCCAAGCTCCTGCAGTACTTCGAGAGAGGAAAGGTCTCCTTCAGCATTGACGTATTGTTTGACTATGCCCTCCAGATAGGCAATTCGAGCGCGCACATTGTCTGCGCTGCCATAGAGTCTTTTCTTTCTAGGCTTGGTGGTCTTGCAGGTATAATTAAAATGTTCGCAGTGCTGACAGCGAGCTTGCCCGGGGATTTGCAGGCACTTGTGTTTTCTTGCCTTACAACGATCGCAGCTGCGTGCCGTGCGCTGTCGCAGCTCGGGCGGCACTCGACGAGCTGCCTTTCGCATTGCTGCCTTCTCCGTGGCTGTAGTCATGGTGGTTGGATGCAGTGAGAACAGCCGGGAGAGCCGGAACTCGGGGGGAATTTGAGGAGAAGGGAAAGAACAGCACTCGACCGGTGCTCCGATGGCCTCCTTATAATGGCTCGGAGGCGGGCGTTCACCCCCTCATTTCGACAAGGGTATATGGATGATTAGACCACTCAGTGCAGGCCGTATGCAACCTTGGCCTTAGCGTGCAAGACCGGCCCAGATAGCGCCGGCGACAGATAAGCCCAACCAGTCCTTCCCACACACACAATGGCAGCAGCCTGCGAATCCTAGCTCCGACAGCAAATGAAGGCCAAGAACACGAAAATTGTGCTGGGTTCACCCCCTGAGGGTCGTGATACTCTCCGCGCTAGGGTTTGTGATGTGACAGAGAGGACACCCGCTATACTCACCACAAACCCACCACTCAGACCACTTGTCAGGTACATTTTTTCGAGCGAAACTTGGTGTACAGAAAGATCGTTCAAAAATGGAGATCCTGCCAAAGAACCCTGCGACATCCGACGAAGGGGAGATCAATACCAGGACCAAGATGACCGCGCAAGGCATCATCCTCGTGCCTCAACCAAGTGATGATCCGGAAGATCCCTTGGTACGTCTCCCTACTGCGAAGTCATTTATTCAGATCGTCCTGACGGTAGAGCGATTACCTACAGAATTGGAGCACATTCACCAAGCACGCGGCTCTCGTGGTTCTCGCGTTTGAGTCATTCCTGGTCAAGTTTTCAGCCACTCTCATTGTAGGTTCACTAACACACCCAGATACCTTCTTGAATCATTTCCATCTAACCGCTCTTTCAGGCTCCCGATGCTCTCGAGCTATCCAGGGAGTTTGGAGTAAGCAAAACTACCGCGACCTACATCGGCTCTGTACCCTCCATATTGAACGCAATAACGTCCTTCTTCTGGATTCCGCTAAGTCATCGGATTGGTCGACGGCCTGTACTTCTCATTGGGAATCTGATAGCATTGCTCAGTGCAATAGGAGTGGCTCGGTCTCAAACGTACGCCGAAGCTCTAGCTTGTCGAATGGTCATGAACCTGGGCGGCAGCGTCGGTTTGTCCATTGGACCCGCTGCCATCTCCGACATGTTTTTTCTACACGAGAAGGGTTCACGAATGGGTATAAACAGCATTCTGCTTGTCATTAGTCCATATGTAGGTGGAGTGGCCGGTGGCTCCATCGCATACAATAAGAGCCTCGGGTGGCGGTGGTCGATGTACATCGCAGCCATCCTCTACGCCACACAGTTCATCGCCCAAATTTTTCTCGGTAATGAATCACAATACTCCGCTATACACCATTTTTCCTTTTGCTTATTTGATTTCCCCTGATTCAGTCCCCGAAACTATCTACAAACGAGATGAGAATGCAGCAGCCGCATCCCAGCCCCAAGACTCGAAGCGAAACGCTTTCCTCTCTTTCCTCAAATTTCGTACCCCCAAAGTCCCCGAAAACGAAACTTGGGCTCAAACCTTCCGCAAGCCTTACAAGATGTTCGCGTATCCTGCCGTTGTTCTTCCATCCTTCTGGTTCGGGGTTGCAAACATGACCGAGGTCGGCAACACAGCGGGCTTCGCCCTCAACTTCGGCCTAGATACTCACTGGAAATTCAATCTAGCCCAGGTAGGCTTCTGTTACTTTTCCGGTGTTATCGGGGCCGGAATTGGCGAACTATTTGGAGGGCCACTCTGCGACTTGCTCACAAAGTACACAATGCGGCGAGGCCAGGTTTGGAAGCCGGAACGGCTACTCCATCTCGTGTGGACAGGTCTGGTCACTGTCTCGGTAAGCACATGATGATAATAAACTGGTAATACGCGAGCCATAACCCTAATAATCTATATCTAGGCTGGTTTGCTCTTGTACGGACTCGAACTCGAGTTCGGGGACAGCTGGGCTTCGGCTCTGACAGGGATCGGTTTATTCACGTTCGGGCAGGAGATCATGGTTACCGTTCTCTTGACTTACATGACGGAGTGCTACCCGGAAGATGCAGCAGAGGTAACCATCGTTTTTCAGTTCTTCTTTGCCGTGCAGACTTTCCATCCCCCGTTCTACCTCCCCCAGTGGATCGAAGCTCCTGCTGGACCGAAGGTCCCCTACATCGTGTTCGCGGCACTTCCTGTGGTGTTTTATCCCTTTTGTATCGGTATTTTTACGTGGAAGGGTGAGCAGATCAGGAACAAAGGCCCGTTGTTTGCATGGTAAGTCTGCAAGGGTGGTCCATCTCTCTTGAGTAGAGTGCGATATACTTGGTAAGTATTTTAACTGTGCTGCATTAGGGCAGGCATAGACTTGGGAGGCTATTTGTTACTTTATAGTTAGTCTTAGAAGCTTAGATATGAGTGTTGTGCGGGTGCGCTTTCAAGGTAGAGCTTGAAGTGAGAATTGAGGCGGCGCGTGAAGATTACGAATTGAATATTCCTTGTTGCATCATCTGCACAACGATTGGTCATTATGATTTCTTATCGCAAGGGGTATTTTATTCCACCAATAGTATTCGAAAGCAATTAAGCCACAATTTCAACCCTAATCCTCGCCTCCGCCATATCCGGCTGAAACCAAAACCCAATATCCTTCGTAGTATCCACGAGCTCTACCTCGCGTTTCACGAACCCCGGCTCTTCAGCCGCCTTCACCTCTTGCTCTTTAGCACCATCAACACCTCCCTCCCCATCATCTTCACTATCCCAGCCCTCATCATCCTCCATCTTCTCCTTGCTCACCGGGTCCAACTCATCAGTCTCCCAAACCAATCTAAAGCTATAAGGCCGTAGCCCAAAAAGCCGAGAAACAATAGCCTTGAGTTGATAAGTATCGAACGACCGAGGGACTTCTTTAAACTTGGTAGAGACACCCTCTGACCCGACACCCTCGGTCTGAGATAGACGAAACACCAACTTTACCAGCCTTGCAGCAACAGACCGCGGGTTCACAGCAGCACTACCAGCCCCTGACTCGGCCCTTCTGATATCAGGTTGGCCATACAGCTCGCACAGCTCTTTGTATCTGGGATGCTTAGCAAGGATGCTTGCTTCTGCTGTCTCTGGGGAAGCGGATAGCTCTTTTCCGATGAGAGAGAGATAGTATAGTTCTCCGTTATTGCGGTCCTTGGGGGTGATTTTGCCGTAGTTGAGCATCTGTAGAGAGCCGATGCGGGATAGGGTTAGCATGTACGCTTCGTCGACTGTCATGGGCTTCTCGGGCACGCCTGTGATGTGCGATGGGCCGACGGGCTGGTCGTATAGTGGGTTGCCGGATATGCGGAGGGTGTCTAGGCCTGGGAATAGGGACGGGAGGTGGTTGATGAAGTCCCATGTGGTGATCTTGTTGCGGGATAGGTCGAGGGAGTGGAGGCTTTGCGGGAATTGGAGAGCTGTGTCTGAGGTGTTGTTGACGTCGTGGATAGTGGAGATGTTGTTTCCGCGGAGGGAGAGGTGCTCTAGTCTTGAGAGCGAGGCGAGTGATTTGATGGAGGATAGGGAGGTAATGTCGTTGTTTTCTAGGGTAAGACGGGTGATGGTGTTGGAGAGGGGGGTTGTCAGCATTGAGAGTTGGTTTGCTGAAGCGGAAAGTGTGTTGAGAACGGGGAATTGATAGGTCAATGCTGATATCTCCTCCCATGTTAGAAGGGTCTCGTCAATGTGCAGTGTCGTGATGCCCTCGAACTTCAACCCCTCCTCGAGAGGACCGAGCCGGTTCCCTCTGTTATCATGTTAGCCCAACCCAAATCAACCATCGCAGTCCAAGATAACCTACATCAGCTTCAGCCCCTTAAGGAAGTTCAACCGCTCACAAATCCGAGCTACACCTCCCCAAGTCGTCAACAAGTTCCGGCTCAGATCCAGCTCGGTAATCTGCGGACAGGTCTGCTCAATCTCTGCATATGCAGATTCAATCTCTTCAGCTGATGCATCATGCCCCAGCACACCCGCAACTTGCAGCCCATCAAGAAGCACGATCTTCAGCTCCTGGAGCCTAGCAAGCTGCTTCCGGATCTTGTCGAAGCCAACTTCCTCAACGACCTTGCCGCTGATCTCAATGGGTTTGTGCAGAGCATCACCCGTAGCGTCATTCCGTTGTCCTTGCCTGGCAATCTCGTGCTCGAGGAACTCAGACGCGTACTTCTCGCGCAGCGCCTCGATGAACCCTCGAGGTTTATCTGCCGAACGAGACGGACGCACGAATGACCCCGCTGTCGGGTGTTTGCTTATGCCTGCAACATGTGAGCATATATCCTAACCAGTAGTCAAGCCTCAATCCAATACCCAAGACCCAAGTCCCGAAAGAGGACACTTACAAGTGAAATATCTCACCCCGCGATGCTCTCCCGAATGCTTTCCCCGAGTCGGGTCATCCCATTCGACTCCTAGCCACTCCCCAGAGGTGCCTTCAACAGTACCCACGTAGCGCACGGTACACAAATCCCCAGCATACGACCGTCTCTGTCCTACGTACGCAGCCTCCATTCTAAAATCGCCGAGAACCGTACCTCCTAAACATACAGTTCCGAACAAATAGATACAACGAGCGTCCCAGCATGTGACGGATTTCCCACTCCTCCCCGCTCCACCAATGGCAGCCCACACCCCGCTTACATAACTCTGTCTGCCTGAGGCAGAAGCTAATCTCCAAATCGGCGAAGCAGAACTTCCTCGACACTTACTACTACGATATCATCACCTCCATATCCCACTGCTATCCATCTCCACAACCACAACCCGCCAGGATGGATTACCAAGTAAGCATCTCACCCCCCACCCTCTACATCCAGCATCCCCCTCGCTAACAAAACCCCTCTCAACAGAACCGCGCGGGCTCCAAATTCGGCGGCGGCGGCGTCGCCTCGCACTCCGCCACGAACGCCGACCGACGCGAGCGCCTGCGCAAACTCGCGCTCGAAACCATCGACCTGGACAAAGACCCCTACTTCTTCAAGAACCACGTGGGCAGCTTCGAATGCAGACTATGTCTAACGGTACACCAAAACGACGGGTCATACCTGGCACACACGCAGGGGCGGAAACATCAAACGAACCTTGCGCGGCGCGCGGCGCGCGAACAGCGCGAGGGCAAGAACCAAGATCCGTCGTCGATTCCCGGGGCGATGGGCGTGCAGGTCAAGAAGCAGACGATTAAGATTGGACGGCCCGGGTATAAGATCACGAAGATTCGGGACCCCCTGACGAGACAGTTGGGCATGTTGTTCCAGTTGCAGTATCAGGAGATTACGCCGGGAGTGACGCCTAAGGTGCGGTTTATGTCGGCCTTTGAGCAGAAGGTCGAGGAGCCCCCGGATAAGAATTTTCAGTATTTGGTGGTGGCGGCCGAGCCGTATCAGACTTGTGGGTTTAAGTTGCAGGCTAGGGAGATTGATCGTCGGGAGGGACGGTATTGGACATGGTTTGATGAGGATAGTAAGGAGTTTTGGGTTCAGATTATGTTTAAGACGGAGAGAGAGGAGAGGTTCTCGGGTGTGCCGGGTTTGGCGCCTCTTAAGGAATAAGACTTAGGGGGTTAGTGAATGTTTCTTTATTGTTGTTGTTGTTGCTGTTGTTGGTTTTCTGTTGAAGGTCGGGTATGGCGTTTCATGGGCTTGCACTGCTGGCAAAATGTTGTGGCTATCGTTCTTTCTATTCTATTGCTGTGTTATGCATTAGAGTGGCTTCGCATCAATACCATGCCCTCTTTTACTTGTTCTTCTAATGATACAATCTATCCACGATGAAAGTTTTAAGTTCTATATCAGACGCAACTTCTACCGCAATTTTATGCATTGGCTAAATGCTAATAGCTACGGAACACAGTCCTGCATTCGCGGGCTTTTTCTAATACATGATATGATATCCACTCATATGTATCCCCGGTTAGATACAGTCGGTAGCTAGCAATCGTCGTCTCGCGACACGGATGCAAAATCAATAAGGTAATAGGAAATGAACAATGCTAGGTCGTGATCAACTGAGGCGAAATGTCAAATGCGCTAGATGCTGGATGAAACTGATGCACAAGGGGATGCCCGAGACCAGAACCTAAATGCGCCACTGAAAAGCCATCAATGCAAGCCCGCCCGCTGTCGGACTCTTCAATGACGTCTATCGTGGGTTCACAAGGACACTCGGATGTCGACTGTATCTTCAATTTCCTTGGAAGGCGTTGAACGCTTTGTACGTGTATCCGATGAATGGAAGGCTCATCTCCGCCTCCTGCTCGTCCGGCATGGCCCGAGCCTGAGCGCGGTGGATGGCACTGGTATCCTCCTGAGGAATCTCGTCGATCGGGAAGTACGACACGTCAATGTTCGAGCTCAGTCGCGGTTCGAACGGGGCACGGATGCTGCGCAGTTGCTCCCAAACGACTCCGCGGAAGAAGGGGTGGTTCTTGATCTGAGTTGCGCCGCCGAATTGGCCGCCATCGCTTCCGATACGGTGCTCTGCGTCGCAGAGGAAGCTAATCCGCAATTAGCATGATGCATCAGCGAATGATGCGCATAAAGCTTACCTTCTGATGAGACCCTCGGAATCGCGCGACAGAGTGAGTTCCTCGGGGAAGTACAAGCATTCTCTCCAGTTCACAATCTTGCGGTAGGTGTCGGTAGTGTCTTCCGCGCAGAACGGGGGCCAACCCACAAGGCACTCGAACATGATAGCACCGACGGACCACCAATCGCACAGGTAGGTGTATCCTTGACCGTTGAAGATCTCGGGGGCGATATAGTCCGGAGTACCGACCGTGGAGTATGCCATTGCGCGACGAGACTTTCTCCACGTGTTGATCTGGCCACGGTTGGAGACGGTCAAATTGATCGCATCGTTGAAGTAACCGGAGTTGCGGTTCTTGTCCTTTGACGTCGAGTTCTTCAGCAGGTTCTGGTAGTAGGAGTTGTCGTGGGTCTTCTTTCCTCCGGTGGACAGACCAAAGTCCGTCAGTTTGACGTGACCACCACGATCCAGAAGAATGTTATCAGGCTTGATGTCACTATAGACGAAGGAAGTTAGCACCTCCACTTTGCATCTTCTGGCCGCATCAAGCGCCTAGTACTTACCGATGAAGGAAGCCGAGCTTGTGAACAGCCTCGATCGCCATGACAATTTCAGCCATATAGAATCGGGTAATATCCTCGGAGAAGATTTCGTACTTGATCAACATGGTCATCAAGTCACCACCAGGCAAGAACTCCATCAGCAGATACAAGTATGCGGTGTCCTGGAAAGAAGCATGCAGCTTCACCAACCACGGGTTGTCCTTGGAATCAGCAAGGATATCACGCTCCGCGCGAACGTGAGCCAGCTGGTCCTTCTTGAACATCTCCGTTTTGATCAACGACTTCAGCGCATAAATCTTGCCATCGGTTTTCCG